ATAACATCGCCGCGCTAAGTCACTTCTTTGGACCGATCACAGGAGACGACCTCGAAATACAGAAAGCCCTCGTTTGCATGGGCCCGGAGAGAGGTCCACCAGTTCACCATCGAACTAAAGCATCGGCGAAGATGTCGACCGGATAGTAGCATGGGCACTTAGGACACAGTCGAAATCGGCACTGAGAGCAGCAACGATGATTTTGTTAGCATTTTCGGCCTTTCTGAGATTAGGAGAAATATGCGCACTGAAATTTTCGGATCTGTCATACCAAGATAATCCACTGTAGTGGCTACTCATCAGACGTTCAAAAAATGACTAAAAGAGGGAAGGAACCATAGTGGACTTTAAGTGGGACGACATGACTCACGAGTTATGACCATTACCGCGATGCTTTCCCGCCTACCTCGCCATCCAATTACATTTTCAGCTGCAGAGGACGATCTTCAGTATCTAAGGACTATGCAGCTCGACAAATTCAAAAGGCCCTTGGAGATGCCGGCCTTGGAGCGAAGAAACTCACCGCGCACTCCTTTCGAGGCGGTGCGGCCACCAATGCGCTCAGCAAAGGTACAGATGCTCAAAGTTATGCTTGCAGAGAGATGGAAGACATTCACATCGTTCAAACCATACGTTGGCCCGGTACCCGTCTAAGGACTTTGAAAGTTTTCATACAATCCTTTGGTTCTGTGTTTTTTGTACTTTGTTGTCTTGTTTTGTCTCATCTCATTTGCTAGCTCGCACCTCAGTTTGCTTGCTTTTAAGAAAGTCTTACTGCACTCAAATCGCACTGTATCATATTGTCTATCCTTAGTCATTCGCTAGTTTTGCCTTGCGTGCATATAGCCCTGTGAATGTATTTTGGTATTCAAGGAATCCCGTGCTCTTAGATTATCATGTATATAGCCTTTAATTGCTAGTTAAAACCATATCTTCGTCACCGACAATCTCGCTGTTTCGCACCTTAGATCTCTGTTATATACAAGAGGATCTTAATTGGATTCCTATAGCATCATACGCATTACTATGTATCCCTACTATAGCTCGATTCCACATTATTCTGTACGATTTACAAGACGATAAACCTTTACCCCTTCCC